GAGCTCAGCAAAACTGCATTCAGCTTGATTTAAGGTTCTGACTTCACTTGAGTGGGTGCGTTGAAAAGGATCCTGAAGTGAAAGCTCTGAAAATTAACCATGAAATCCTCTGAAGACTCATTAAATTAAAAAATTAGGAAATCAAAGCTGGCAAAATGATCTTAGTAGCCATGCCAGCTTTGCAGATATGTCATCTTCCCTTTTATGCAAGCTTTGCATTGTGTGAGAGTAGTGCCATCGCCCAGAACAACAATTAAATCCTGCGTTAAGGATACCTGTGTAAGCACTTACCATTGCACACGGAGCTTTGGAGGCAGACAGGATTGCTGCAGATTTTCAGCTAAGAGGAAAATGACCAAATTGCTTAGAATTACATTTCGGAAAGAAAATACCTTTTGGTAGGTGGCTCTGTGGCTGAAACAAGTAGAATTAAGGAAAATGTGGGGGAGAAAACTGTTTCCTTGTAATAATTCAGCACCCAAGAAGGCTTCTTCCGTCAGCTTTCACCCCCCGTGACCAAAACCGGGTGAGCCCTGAGCCGCCTCCCACCGGGCTGAGTCAGGGCCCCATGCCGGGGGGTGTCAGGGCGCTGCTCCCCCCCGGCTGCAGTTTCACAACGCCAGCCAGCCCGGCCATGGCCCAGGACTTGTGGTGAGTTCCTTAAGCCCTCAGGAAAACACAAAGGAACGATTTCCAAATTGTTTGGAGTGATCCTAGCGGCTTCCCTGGGGCAGCAGCTCATGCTCCTCTGCAGCTGCTCCCCTCCACTGCCTGCGGGCTGGTTCCTAAAATGAAGTGATCACAGCCCTCTGCTTCATGCACGGTGCTGACACTGAGAATGGGATGAAAAATGACTTAGTGTTACACCCAACATCGGCTGTAACACCTTACTGCCCTCTCAGCCAGGAGGTGCTCCATGTGGCCCAGCACCCGACTTGTGCTCACAGCACTGCAGCCACCCCTCTGGGCCCTGGGGCATCACGAAGAGATGCTCACGGGAATATGACCAGCATCCATCCCCTCTGCCTCCCTCAGCCCCAAGGGACTGTCGGACTCACTGAGGGACCCTCCCCGGCACCGCAGCCTTTTCCCAGGCCCGCGGGTGCCCCGGTGAGGAATGCCGACCACGCGCCGCCGGGGAGCGGAGCTGTCAGCGTGACTTCCCCGCCGCTGATGCCCCCGTCATCGCTCCCACACAGCATCAGCACGCAGCCCGCTGCCGTGTGACAGGAGCTGTGACTTTGCTTGGGAGCCAAGCACCAGGAACGAGTACCAGGGGGACGTGGCTTTTAGTGGGACAGGAAATATTAGCTATCTGCGATAAAACGGAAAGGGCGGCCAGTACACGTCCAGCACACTTCGAGGCATCACTCTGTGGCTGGCAAAGAGTACTAGCAGCCCTGAAAAGCAAATAAAGAAATAGCTTTTCCACTTCAAGGCTGAATTTTAGAAGAAATGAGTAATTTTTTTCTTGCTCATCCTACAGTGTACACACACAAAAAAGCCTCCAGCAAGGTCATCTGCATGTTGCAGCAACTGCTGGCACAGGAGGGTGGGGGGGCGGGGGGTGTTTTCAGCCCCATGGAGGGCTTATGGGGTGGTTGTGCAAGCACAGAGCAGCCTTGCACAGCGCGTCCCCTGGCATCAGCCAGTTGTCTATGGGTTGCTACAGCCTTGCACATCAATCAGGGTTTCCTCTTTTTTTTTTTTTTTTTTTTTTTTCTTTTTTCTTTTCCCCTGGTGGAAAAGCTTTTGTATGGGATGCTTCTGGCTAGAGGAATCTCTCTCATAACTCCCAGTTTCTGTGTGGAATGGGCAGGTGACAGCAGAATGGCAATAAAACAAGGACAGAAGAACATCAGGCCCTTCTCTTGTTTTTCATGTTTTAGCTAAGGCAGTTCCAGTGCTGGAAAAATCTACTCTGACACTGGATTCATACTTACACCATCCCTCCAAGTTATCACGGGGCTGATAACCTCCCTTTGCCCTTGCAGTCTGCGGCAAACAGAGGAGCTGAATATCTCAGGAAATGGGCAATAACTTCAGATCCCTCCACTCCTGCTGGGCTGTTTGCACAGGGGCAATAACCAGGAGCAGGAGCCACCCGAATCTGGTGCTAACCCCCCTGTGGTGGCTGTGGGTCCCACCCCGTGGTGTTGTGGTCATGCTCAGCTCCCTGACCAAGGCACCATCACTGCTCGGAGGCCCCAAGCACCCGGCCTGCTCCTGCATGACCTTGGGCAGGTGGCACAGGCATCCCAGTCCCAAATTTCCCCTTCTCCAAGGTGGAGATAGGAGAGGCAGAGGGCTGAGAGCCTTGCAGAGAGGGGCTGTCACAGCATGAGCAGCTATCATCCGTGGCCCCAAGCACACTGCGGTGTGAAGAGCGCCGTTCCCTCAGAGGACCCCGGGCCTGGCACCAAAGCCAAGGACAGGCTGTGTCTGTGCTTTCACACAGCCCCGTCTCGCTCTCTATTTCCATATTTCTAGCTTTGCAGGAGGCCGTAGGTACAAAAGATGCAGCGAGGGACAAAACGTGGTCAAAAATTACAGTTAATGAAATAATCGCCTCCTAAACAGCGTATGACACAATACTTGAGTCCTCTGCAAGTTATAATCAACACCATATGTACAGTCATAAATATCAGAAATATTTACAAAACACTGACAAGATCTTAAAAACAAAAGCGGTGATTTCCTCATCTTGCTGGAAGCATTACAAAACGCGTGGTAAATTGTCTCATTCGAAATACCCCGCTAACCGCAGAGCGCAGTGCGCCTTGTTTTAATGGTTACTCACCCTATATGCATTCACTGGCACGTTTAATCTACAATGGCTGATTACAAACCATTGCAGGACAAAGATTACGAGGCAGGGTCGATACAGATTTTGTTTGTGTGAAGCCCGCTGTTGTCATAGCACCCTGTTGCACAAAAGGTAAACCAAGCCACCATCCGACCATTTCCTACACGGCGGCAGCTGGCATTGATAGAGACATCCATCAGGGGGACTCGAAAAGACTGTAAAATTGGCCAATTCAAAGTGGCTGTGATTAGTCTGTACTGGGGCAAATGTCTCTGTTTTGATTTTTCATCCAAAAAAAAAAAAACTAAATGAAATGCCTCTGGCTTTCCCTACAAAGTCTCTTTAGGAAAACTAGTGAGTGCTGCAATCAAACCAGGCCATTTGTGCCAGTCACGGGCTTCAAGTGGGTGGCAGCTGGCAAGATGACTTCACTTCCAGCCCCTCACCCGGGAGCTGATGGCGCTTTCCCTGGAAATTCAGTATGTAGCATTAGGCCGAGACCCCACAAGCCCCATCGCTGGTCCCTTGAGTGTCAGGACACCTTGAATGGTTTCAGCTCTTACCAGGATTGGTCACTGTCTTCTGCTCTGCCCACCTCCAATGCTGGAAGCAGGAGGCAATGCTGTCAGCAGCAGGGAGGAGCTGTGTGGTGTTTCCAGGGTCCTTATCTCACAAGCCAAAAATCTCTCCGTGGAAAGACAGAAAAATCTTATCAAGAACACTAGAGTCCCCACAGTACAGTTTGTAGCTTCATATCTTAGAAATAAACTGTTTAAAAGACTCCAGTTGGCAGTCATTGCAATGGTTGATCTAAAAAAGAGAGGGTAAGGTGAGGGAAGCCATTTGGGCACTTTCTAGACAGGGCTAACTTGTAGCTGCTTGGAAACAGGCAGTCAGACAAGTAAAGTTTTGCATTTAGTTTTGATTTGGGTTTAATTAAAAAGGAAATTGTTTCATTCAACAATGTGAATTCAACAGGTCTGCAAAGAACTATGCCAGCGCAGATTTCCTTTGAGGGAAAAAAAAATAATTAAAAAAAAAAAAGCCCTTCAGATGGGACTTCTTTCATATTTCATTTTGTTTGGAAAACACAGGCATTGTTCCATCTTCTTGCTGCTCTCCCCCTGAGTTCATCGGAAAAGATGAAAGGGCAATGTTAGTGCTACACTAATCGCTGCACCCTCACTACTGGCACGGGTTCTGGGCGGACATCTCGCTTCTGGGCCCTCATTCGTTTGTTTTCTAAACAGAAACAGAAAAGGAGCCACTGTTTTTACAAAATGTCACAATCTTAGTCTGGGAAAAAAATAAAAGTAAAAATCTGTTGATTTCAATGCATTTTGAATCAGATCCACAGAACTTAATTGCTGAAGCTTATGCTGGTTTCTAAATTTCAATGTTCATTATGTTTTTTGTTTGTTTGTTTGTTTGATCAGAAAAATATCTCGAGAAAACCCCGGAAAAACAACATTCCCCAGTAGAAAAACAATGGCCCTGGTTTTAGAACCATTTTGCATGTACCGTTTTGCATCCTCTTAGTCAAAAGTTAAAGCAGAAAAACAGAGGTGTATTTTTTATACACCTTTATAAAGAAATCACCATTGATGCAGGAACTGAAACAACGCCAAGCAGTGCAATCCTTGTTCTGCTATATTTATGTCCTTACAGAGACACTTACTATCGTGTTAAAAGCTCATGAGGGGCATCTCTAAAAGCCATAAGCAACAGTGGGCACTTGAGGAGACAATAAATCCACAGACACTTAATTGCAAGCACATAACTTTTCAAAGCTGCTGAGAATCAGCATTTGTGAGAGGTTAGCTCTTTAATAAGTTGTTTATGTATCAAATATTAAGTTCAAATGCCTACAGTTTAGCTGTTTACTAAGGAAAAGGAGAGTCTCCTAGTTGTTACAAGGACTGCCTTGGAAGCCAAGCAGAGCACCACTGAAATTAGGGGGACTCAGTGTGGGCACTCACATCTCTCACTGCAAGAAGGGGAACAGGACACTGAGCCTCATAATCATGCTATGTGTAAAGATTGATTGGAGCATCTAGGTGGGTCTTTCCTTCAGAAGACATCTACACGGGTTGAATGCCTTCCTCTTAGGCCACAGGAAAAGCTTAGATCAGCTCTTCATCATTTTAAAGCTAGAAAAGAGCCCAAACAACCATTCCTTCAAGATAGCGAGAACTCTTTCAATAGATACCTCTTTATTTGAAATGGAATGCATCTTGAAAAATATGAAAAATAAATCACATCTCTCGGAAATCATTTATGAGTCATATTTACACACAATCTTTTTGACGACACTGATATTTCTGCTCACAATAGGATATGCTAGAAAACATTTGGTACATCACTGCAGCTATAATTCCAAAGCTGGCATTTGCATATCATGAACAGTAACAGAGAGGAAATACTTCATGATGTCACAAAAACAACATCCACTCGATCTTTCCTTTTCCCCCCAATTTCTAAATTTTCTTGGTACAAAATGGTCACCACAGCTTGAATTTTCTGGCTGCATCCTGCCCCTCAGCCACTCTTCACTTTTCTTTCTTTATTTTTAATCAAGATGTAAAATTTTGACCTCCTCTTTGACTGTCTACAATTTTGTTACCTATACCAAGCATTTTCCTGTTTGTGTTTTACTGGCATTGTTGTTTATTCTTGATAAATTTATTTCAACCATATACTGTTTTTTGTGATTTTTTTTTTTTTTTGGGGGGGGGGGGTTGCTTTGTTTCTAGTTTGGTTGGTTGTGGGGTTTTTGTTTGTTTTGGTGAGGGGAAGACACTATTATTCCTTTTCTTGCAGTTCCACTAGGACGGAGCATAATCTATCTGCTGGACTTACTTTCACAGCCATTTCTTACGAGGCAGTGACAGACAGTATTTAACCAAGCAGCTCCAGTGAGGACTATGGTCAAAAATTGCTATCAAGTTAAGGACACAGGGAATTTAGAGGGTGAGAAAGTTACCAGACTGACCACGTCAGACACCTTAGCCTTCTTTATACTGACACGGCATGAGCAGCAAGCACAACTGTCCCCGGGGAACCCCAGCCCCTTCATTTCCCTTTGGTTTCCAGCACGTTGAGTGCCCGTGCCCATCCCACCCGTGACCTGTCAGCCAGGCTGAGGCACAGAAACAGCTCGAGGTGGATGTTGTGGCGTGACCGTCTGACACCAGCATTTCTACAAGGTAACACGGTGGGCAATGACAGCAGGCAAAAGTTTGTCAGCAAACTAGATCAGTCCAAAGGGTTTTGAGAGCATCCTTCAAACCAACTTAAAACAAGAAATCTGAGGTGGAACACAGCATTGACCTTGAATCAGTGAATAAACAGCTTTCATTTTGAATTTCCTTTGCTTCTTCAACCTTTTACGTCAATTATATCACTAAAACCCTCATCTTTTGTTTTCAGAGTACAAATACTCCCAGAAGAGCAGTAACATTTCAGCTTTACACCAGATCCGTAGACTTCAGTAGCATTCAGTGGGCTTGTGCCTGCCTGGGACAGGAATACCTGCCTCCACCAGAGAAATATGCACGTCTCCAATCACGTAGGAACAGTTTTTCATCAAGTACATTTATTCTTCATTAGGCTGAAACATATTTTAGTAGGTGAGATACCAGCGATATGTCTGTATATCTGAAAAGGTGGATTAGTTACTCAGTAAACTGTAATTAACGACTCTAAAGAGAGGAGCCAAATTACAAATTACAGCCTATTTTGTAAGTCTCCGACTAGCTCATTAGAGAATCCCCTTGCAGCTCTAACATCCAAGCATTAGCAGAATGATAATGGCAGATGTACAGAGATGTGGAAATTGGCTATTATGATTGCCAAGACAGCGAATCTAATCCTAGAAGATGCAGGGCACCTTCGATTTCAATTAGTCTCCAAGTAATAACTTTGTTAGGACAGCTGTAATCTACCTCCCCAGGCTTGTCGCACAACCTTTTCAAGGGCCAGATCTGAGAGCAGTGCTCGGGGGTAACCACGGAGGATGGGGGAGGTCTGGGCTTTAACTCTGCCACATTTTGTGTGTCTGTGTGTGTGACCCAGACACCTGGGGGCAGGGGAAGGAAGAAGAGGACAAAAAGAGATCTCCGGTTACTCCTTACAGGGCTAGGAGTAAGCTCAGGTGCAGAGCAGACCAGAAAGGACCATTGCATGCAGTAGCAAGTTCTGATTTCTCCTTTTGAGTGTCGCTTCAGTTTTGCCTGAAACACTTAGAGAAACAGCTTGAACCAAGATCGTGGGGGTTTTACAGTCAAACTATGTCTCAGTTACACAAACAATGGGGTGCTGGATGCGCAGCTTTGAAAGGTTTTGTTTACGCTCACGTAACTTGTCAAGGGGCCAGAAGCGGTTTTCCTCGCCGCGTTAGTTAAAATAAATAGCTCTGCGGCTGCAGCCTTTTACCTTGAGCCAGAGACGAGGGGCCCCGAGCTGGTCTGCCCCGCTCACGAGCACAACTCGTGCCGGAGAGCACCACGAAGCGGGCGCTGCCTGGAGGGTGCTCCCCGGGGATGCACACAGGGTGTGAGCACTGGGATGCACATGGGGTGTGCACCCTGGGAAGCACACATCCCATGGGGTGTGCATCCTGGATGCGCACACATCCCACGGGATGTGCACCCGCAGGGTGTGTGCCCATCCCACCCCGGTGCTCCCAGCCGCGCTCACTCGCGCCCACGGCCGAACTCCCGGCGGCTTGCGAGAGGCACAGGAAGACGCACCAGCTGTGCAATTAGCCCTTTGTTTTCCAACTTGGCGGCTTCATCAACATTTTTAGAGGCGAGATCGCATGCCTCTCTCAGCATCTGACAGTGCTGAACACCAAAATTAATCTAGTTTATCTCGGCTTAGGGGGGCTGTGACCAGAACAATGCGTTTGGACACTAAGACATATGCGAGATGAATTTTAAACTAGGGGCTACTTTAATGCGAGACATTTAAAAACTGCCATGAAAATAAGGTCGAGAGCCCAGACCGTTTACAAGCAGACAGAGCCTTGAACTCGGATGCTAAGAAACGCTCATAATTGGTTCTCAGCTCCTGCCCTCCGGCCTGAAGGAGCCGAAGCCTCAAACCCATCGCGGAATCCAGCCGTGATTCCTGCACCACCGAGGAATCGGGTTGGATTCCCCTCAGCTCATACGTCAAACAGATGGGTTTTAGTCTCGGAACAACCCCCAGCATTACTTTTTTTTTGAATAACCAAGCGTGTATAGAATTTTATCGTCTTCCACCAGGCGTGTATTTTGAAAGAGAATCATTTAAAGCCCGATTTGTAATCGCTCTTCTCACTGGGGAGAAGAGTTTTCACGCGCAGCATGGGTTTCAGCCAAATTCTGAGCCAGACATCACATTTTCCACGTTAGCGTAATACAGCATATTTCGGGTAAAACCGAAGGACTTTTTGTCACATCGCACGCGGCCGGGCTACCCGGGGCTTCTGCAGGGCGCTAACACACGCCCTGCTTTTTCCTTCGCCTTTTGGGCACAGCCTGCGCTCCGAAACGTCCTGCAAACAAGCCTTTGAAAACAAGAAGCCAACAAACGACCGAACTAATAAATAAGACACGGTAAAGTTACAGTACGTCACGTCTGCCTGAAGTCCCCGGGGCACCGCAGGATCCGTCCCGAGCTCCCCAAACCCGGGGCTGGAGGGGCTCCTGGGCGCAGGGGGCGGCCGGGCGGGGGGCTCCCGGCCGAGTCCGCTGGGTGCCCGGCTCGGGGGGCGGCCGTAGCCCCCCCGGGGGGGTGTCGGGGCCGGCGCTAGGCGGAGTTGGAGGCGCTGCGGATGCGGGGGCCGTGGGGCTGCTGCGCCAGGTGCTGCTGCTTCTGGCGGGTGGAGCGCACGGCCAGGATGGCCTGGCGGTTCTTGTACTGCACCATCTGCAGCGTGATCGCCGCGTTCCAGCCCTGCTCCTGCGCGCACCGAAAGTCGATCTCCTTGCCCTCGGCCATCACCACGGTGAAGTAGACGTACTTGCCCTTCCGCTCCACGCAGTCCACCGTCTTCATGTTGGAGAAGTGCAGCTCCTTGATCTTGGCGGCCGGCTCGGCGCCCGGCGGCTGCTGCTGCTGCTGCTGGGCCGGCTGCTGGGGCTGCGGCTGCGGCTGGGGCTGCTGCTTGGGGGACGCGAGGAGCAGCCCCTCCTCGGTGAGGATGCAGCGCTTCTTCTTCCAGAGCTGCAGCAGCCCGTCGCTCCTCTTCTCCAGCACGCCCTCCTTCACCGCCTTGCAGCCGCTCTCCAGCATCCTCCCGGCTCCGCGGGGGCTGGGCTCGGCGGGCGGCAGCCGGCACCAGCCCAGGAGCCGCCGCCGGAGCGCCCCGGCCCGCGGGATGCGGAGCGGCTGCCGCCCGTGGCGCGGCGTGGCTGCGCCCTGCCTCCCCGCCTGCCTCCCTCCCTTCCCCTCCCCTCCCTTCTCGCTCCCCTTTTTCAGCTCGCCTCGCCCACCCCGGCCGGAGCGACACCCAGCGGAAAGGGCGGCCCCCGCCGACACGCGGGGAGCCGGCGCCGCCCCGGCACCGCCGGCAAAGGGGGAGCCACAAGGGGAGCCCCCGAGGCGGCCGGGATGGAGGAGTCGGCGCTCGGCGCTGCCAGGAGCCGCCCGTCCGCCCTGCTGCTGAGCCCGCAAGGGGAGAGATAAGGGGAAGCTCCGGGGAACGCTCACTGCTTCGAAACGTCAAGAAGAAACGCGTAACATGTCCAAACTAGCCCCCCACAAGACCCCTTTTCGTGGCGATCCTGCGCCGTTAGCACACAAGTGCTTATTGTTAGATTCCTGCCCCCCGGCCAGCTTTTGGTTTATGTTTGCAGAAGGCATTTATTTGCATAGAAAAGCGAAGTGACTGAGAGTTAAACTGATTTAAAACTCTGATGTCTGAGATGCAAAATCAAGAGGCAGCATAACTGAATTTGGCACTGCCAGCTAACATAGGCTGAGCTCTGTATGTCCCTCTCTACTCAAGAGCACTGCTTTGCTTTTATTTATTTTTTTATTTTTAAACATGTATTTAACAGAGCCATAAAAATGAAAACCACCCCCTCACCCTGCTCTTAGCAGCCAGGAAGGAGGTCAGGCTATGGCAGAGGTCAGTAGGAACAAAGAAAAAAAAATCAACATTGTTGATTGCTTCAATGGAGTTTCTCTCTGTTAGGCAAGAGGGAAACTATCTATCAAAGTTTGAACTTCAAGCATAAAAGGTAAGTTAATTTTGATTAATTGTTTACCTCTCCATGATTTAAGTAGTGAAGGCAATTAAAAGTGATGTGGTCGTTTTACCGTTCCTGCAGTAACTAGGAAGAAGCTCAAATCAGGAACAAAGGTAAGCTACTAGCTACAACAAAAAGATGGATTAATAGCTTAAAGGTCACTTTAGAGACTAGTCCCTTCCCCTCAGGGCTTAGGATATGCACTCTCATAAGATATGCATTCTCACAAGTCTCATGTTTATTTTATTAGAGGCACACACTCAATTTAAGAAGAGCTGAACATCACTCAGTTGTCTCAAGCTGTAGCTCATTGCCATTTCTACCTAAATTCCCCATGCAATTACCTGCATCTTCATCTACTGATGCTCACACAAGGAGCCTCACACACAGCTCAAAGGGAGTAAGAGAATCTCCCAGCTTTTCACATTTGTTCTGCATCTACTTAACTCTTGATTAAGTGTCAAAGTATTAACATTCATCCATATTCATCTATCGCAATCTACAACTTGATTAAAACATGAAGTTTGTAAGGCACAGGACATTGAACTACACCCACAGAACACCAGTTCCAACAAATCCATTTCCTAAAGGGGGCCTACAGAAAAGCTGGGGAGAGAGTGGAGCAACAGGACAAAGAGTAATGGTTTTAAGATCTAAATCTCCCATTTTTTATTAGCTATTACGAAGAAATTCTTCCTTCAGGTGGTGAGGCCCTGGCACAGGCTGCCCAGAGCAGCTGTGGCTGCCCCATCCCTGGAGGTGCTCAAGGCCAGGCTGGATGGGGCTTTGGGCAACCTGGTCTGGTGGGAGGTGTCCCTGCCCATGGCAGGGGGTTGGAACCGGGTAGGCCTTAAGGCCCCTGCCAACCCAAACCGTTCTGTGACTCTAATTGACCTGTACACTTCTGGTTGCTGCTTCATTACTCTAAGTGAACAGTCCTTTGCTTCCTAGCAAACACGCTACCAAGCAGCATGGCAACTACTGTAGAGTCCCACATGTTACTCTGCAGCAAGCATCCTTTTTTTTCCCCTGCAACACTGCACTGTAACATTTACATAGAGTGTGTTAACATGAGCTTTTTTTTTTTTTTGCTTGTTCTCAGCACTGGGAGTAACTTGCAATTAATCAACCTGAGTACAGAAGGCCACAGAATTTCATCCTGTATATAGAAGGGGATTAAGTTTGTTCCATTTTGGCCTTCCATCATATAAAGCGCTCAGTTGTCTTGTAGCAAATGTTGGATGTCAGCTTTTGAACCCAACTCTAAGCACCATGGACATACTCTGCTGATGTAGGTACTCACAACAACTGTTTATTCCTGGTGAAATTCACCTAAGCATGTGATCAAAAGTAAGCATGCAAAACATCCATTTCAAACTGTATTCTGTATGTCAACAAGTATTAACAGCCATTTAAAATACACTACATTTGACCAAAAACACCAGAGCAGTCAGAATTTAGGAAACTCAGGTTAGAGGAAATACTGACAGTTTCATGGTAAAAACACGTCCCAAATTTTATTGCTCAGAACTCAAAGAACAACAAGCCTTGTTTTCCTAGATGGAAGTCACAGCTGAACTTCCTGAAACATTTCTTAAAAATTAGTATCTTGAAAACCCACATTCAACATGGTTAAGCCCACTACATGTCTCACTGAGGTTTTACATGACTTGTCTTTAAATATGTATTTAAACCACTGCAATGATATTAAATGATCTACAGCTGCTACCGTGAAGTTTCACTAAATACTGTGCAGGTTCTGCATGTGTTCCTGCTTTGAGAAAGTTCTGCTGATATAGCTGATGCACAGATGCCTCCTGCTGTCAAACCTGAAATACTACAACCTGAAAAAAATGATTCCTGAAAGAATCTAAGATCCATTTTTCCCTTATTAAATGTTTCTTTTCATTTAAATGCTCTAAGTTAATATTGGTAACACAAATATTTGGTCATTAAGTACATTCAGTCTCCTATATCATAAGCTCCCTAATTTAAAGGCTCCAGTAGAATAAATTTTGTATGTGTAAACTTAATTACTCTTACTGTAATTATTCTTAGTGTTCTTTTCAAACCCTGAGGCAAGTTAAAAACTGTTTTGGGAAGCCACCATGAAAGACTAAGAAGCCCATAATTTTAGTGTTCTCCTGGGTAATAAAAAAGAGCAGCTTGATACCAACAATCAACTACTAATTTCAGAGATGCTAGATCCAAAATGAGTGATAACACTCACTTCATTACATAGAAATAAATGGCTAAAACAGCAAAAGGGTTAAGGGGGAAACTTAGAAGCATGATCTAGTCATTGCTGGACAGAAGGAAGATGAGAAAATAGACAGCCATTGAGAAATACATGACAAATTGATGTGTTGCAATAGGATTAAAACAATTATACCAAGTGCTTACTTCATAAACGATTTTCTTGACCTTTAGAGTCTCCAAGTAACTTCACTGGAACTTCCTGCTGACTGAACGCTGAAGCACCGAGCAGGGAATCTGGAGCAGTCGTTTCCTTCTATGAATTCCTTCTTACCGATACCAGTGTGTATCTCTCAGTACACCAGGCATAACCAGACGAAGTATTTACCCAAACTACCAGTTGCATTGCTCCAGGCTTTGGCATTCCCTACAAAGCATAGTATGACAGTACCAAACGGAGAAGCTGTGTGCAAGGCAGAGTCTGGCATTTTCCGGAGTTCCTTGCACTTCACAGGTAGCTGTCTGTCTTCCAAAAAAAATTATAAAGCACTTGAGCACCCACTGGAGAGCAAAGCCAGCCTGTAAGATGGTTTAAATGACCTGAAGTCTCTCAGCGTTGATCACCTAGTGCTGAGTAAGACATGCTGCGAGTTCAAACATACCGACTGCTTTTCATCAGCTCCAGGATAAGCATCAAGTTTGGGTGGGTACTTGCAACACTTGAGCACACAGAAGTACGTCTGACAATAGCTGAAATTCAGGAGCAGAGGGGACTCTTCTTGCGATCTCAGCACACTTCAGTTAGATACCTATTGACACAACAAGAGCTCTTCCACTAAACCTCCACGCTCCTTTTGCGCCCACTTCTAGCATACGCCAAGTGGATCCAAATGTGGAATACCTTATCTTTCACTTGGTGTGCTCTGCGCTTGCCTGCTTTGCTTGTTCGAATGTTCCTGCAAAAGTTGAGGGACACAGGCCACATGTGGAAGGCTAACAGCAGCCTAACAGAAGGATTTAAGAAGTGCTGAGATGGAAGCCATCACTTGACACAGCCTGTCATACAAAAACTTCCAACTCATCTTGATCTGACAGTGTAGGACCCTTACTATTTCCAGGAAATGGATTTATATTCACTTTAGGTAAGCATTAGTAATTAGAGATCACTACTTTGACACTCAAATAACTCCAGGACTCAGTGCATCTCAAACAGAACTGATCAGTTCTGAAGTGCAGCCAAAGGTTGGGGTGGGTATCAGCTACTTCACTAACCTGTGCAAGCAAACCTTTGACAGGGCTAAACCACCTGGAAAAGGCTACAGAAGAAAGGAGGAGCTGTAGAGCTGAATCCACCTTCCCCAACACCTGTGAAGCTTTAGTTCCACCCATAACACTACATAGAGAAATGCCTTTGTTATCAGACTGTCCCTTTTATACACAGCTCAGCATTTTGTTTCCACTGAGAAAGAATATCACATTGCAGTCCCCATACCCAGCACAACACAAGGCATCTGAGAAACAACTGCTGCACAGATGTTTGTGAATACAAAAATCTCTGGTGAATCTTGTACTCTCAATTTCTGATTCAGGTCTACAGCAGTGGGCCCTAAAACAAAGGGAAAGCTTAAGCATCAGCTTGAAGGCAAAGATGAACCCAGTAAGCTCTTGCAGTTTTCTACATTCTGCTGTGTTTTTCATTTAAAAAGTAAAAACTATGCCAAAGTTATACTACCTGCTATACAGGTCAGGAAACATTGGTTTCAAGAATCTAATTAAGAAGTCTAAGCCTGTGAAGCTAGTTGCAGAAGACCTTGGTAAGAAAAGCTGATACACCAAGTATTTAGAACATCATCCCTCTCCAGAAAACAAGCCTTAAGAATACTAAGCTTAAATCTGGTCTACTGCTTCATTTCAGGACACTGTTTAAAACCATATATTAACGAAGCTACTCCATACAGTAAAACCCATTAATGCTAACATAATCTAATCTACAGTTGTCAGAAATGCCAAATTAGCAAGTAGCACCCCAACCCATCAAGCACAAGCTCTGAGCAACCTTCCACCTCATGCAAAGGAACAGTTCTCCTACCCCTTTCCTCACAAACCTCATTTCTTCCCCCCTCTGATAGTTTTCACTTCAATATAGCAACCAAAACCAGAAGACCCTACTTGCACAAATCAAACTTTAGTGTAGCACAGTACTGCAACAGCTAAGAAATCAGATTTCTAGTGACACATTTTCCTAGCCTGAAGTCCATAAAATAACTAACCTACTCTCCTGAAATACTAATGAATAGTTTCTCTACAGCTGGTATAAATCCATAGGAAGCAAGAAGAATGAGTCACAATACTGCAATCAGTGGTGAAAGTTTAATGTTCCTGCTACATACTGCCTTTCTGAATTGCTAAACAAGAGCTGTTGATCACAAGCACTGAAACAGTTTGTATTTAACCAATGCCGTAAGAACTGGCACCTCAATTTGTATGATTATATCCTTCCTTTCGCTGCAGCCTGGGAAGCACAAGAACTGCTGATTTAGTACTAGCAAACCAATCTAGAGAGCAGCTTACCAAAATCTGTCACCCACATGGATTCACAGCTCTGGATCTTGCAGGCGATCTTTAACATCTACCAGCTCTCCTTTCCAAATACAGTATCACATTGTGTAAGTAACAAATGAGAAAGTAACTTCAACACAAGCTACATTTCATAAGAACAGTGGCTTCAGAAATTTGTTGGACAACTTGTGACAGTTCTTCCTCTTTTCAGGATACTGTTGCCAGATGCTGTTAGCAAAAATGACCTAGACATCTATTTAGGATTTCAGATACTTCTCATGTCCAGAAATGTGAAACCCAGAGCCCTGTGTTAGTTACTGACTGGGGTCATAACACACTATCTATTTAGTCTCCGCATATCCTGAAGTTTAAACAAGAAGTGCTTGGTTTCAACTTAATCCTGGAAGACATTCACAGAGACCAAGCGATACCCAAACCTCCAGCAGGGTCAGCATTTTAAAAGGTAAGCATATTCTGTCAGGATTAACATTATCACAAGACCACATCCACATTAAGACATGCACCATAATTATGCTGACCTTTTATTACTGTATTTTTCTATGCTGTGATCTATTTGTTAACCTAAATAAATGCTTAAGAACACAGCTTTGACAGTACCGTTTCATATACAGCTTTAGATAACAAGGGCTCCTTCTCCCAAATCCATAGATACCTAGGACGGATAAAGATGGCACCTGGCAGGGATTCTGAAATTATGCCGTGCAGCATTCAAAGCTTCAAGGAATACAAAGAAGAAATCAGTTTCAGGCACACTAGACCTGCTTCCTCTCAGGCATCTGTGGATTAAGAAGGGCACTTGGTATAGGCTTTGTTATGTATTACCTACCTTCTAAGCAAGAGACTTACTGGAGAAACTTCATCCACAACCCCATCCTTCCATGGCTGTTGACTCCTGCTTGTCCTGCTTTTTTTTCCTTTTTCAATGCTTTAACCCATCATGGCTACTTCAGTGTATCAGTGGCAAGGAACAGAGTAGCTACTGCAGAAATAGACGCATGGCTAGCTGGGTGCTTCTTCACTGCCCTGTGAGGACCTTCTCATCCCTCAAAAAGTTGCCTACATACTTATTTAGAAGATCAGGATTTCTACAATTATGTAAAGAACAAGACTGTGGAGTACAACAGCATCCTGCTGACTGGGAAAAGTTGAATGGACGACATCAGTTCACGGTCTCCTCAAGTTGAGTGCATTCAAACCAACATCTCAAGAGCACCTTCACTGGTAGACTACAGACGAAACTAGTATGAAAGATCTAGCCCGTGCTTCAACTTACAGTGAACATCCAGTATAGACAACACATGAACCACAGCATGCTAACAAGCATAGTGAACAAAACATTCAGTGAGGAAGGAAGAATTCCTTGGGTTTTGGTTCCTCCTCTCTAGATGCTTAACAGTGAGTATAAACTAGAGTATAGCTACATGTTCTAGCAGTCTCTTAGGTTACAGAGCAGATTTTATTCAGGACAATGTAGCTCTGTCTACAGAGACTGGAAATTCATGCACCTTTCTTTGGTTCAGATTTCATACTAATAACCCAATGCCTTAGAATCAGGCATGGCAATATCCAAGTCCTTTTATCAGATCTAGCCCCACTTCTAAAATACCATCTTCTCAAAATGGCAGTCTTGACCACTTGCTGAAACACGTAGCTCAGATTCACAAGTATCACGCTGCAAATGGAAGTGTGAATCAAAAGCTTTCCAAACTGCTTTTAAAATGCTATGTAACTTGCTTTTCAGTGACTCAATTTTTGTTTCTAGCAAAGAGTGAACAGCAGCATGAAAGATACACCTCATCAGTTTCCACATGCAGATACACACATCATAATAAAACAAGACTAGCTTCTGAAAATACTAGGTTTTATTCACACCCCAGTGGTAAACAATAACCTTAATATGAGGACTAGGTTTCTTTTGTAGATCACTATGTCACATAAAATACAAAACCCATAGCATAAACAAGCTGACAGTTATGAATGTTTAATGTGGTCTCGCTGGAAATTAAACAAGTCATACTAATCTTCTCAAGTAGTCAAATTCGAAATGCATCATCATCATCTCCTAGTTAGTACAAGTCACTGCCATTTCTATAACAAAGTAATGAAGGCACAGCTAGTGCAAGCAGACTTAAACCCGTTCAGACTACTGGGCTGAAAAATACTTTGGTTGGTTCTTCAGGAGAGAGTTTTCTCTAAACAAATATTGGTCTCGGTTAACAGTTCTGATAATCTTCACAGCTGCAGTCTAATAGCTACATGACAAAGACTTCACAAGAACCAAACTATGTAGCAATGAATTAACATTCATGCTTTAGGGGATTTACTGCATTCTACATATTGGCAGAAAATTATACTGTTAAAATGCTAGGTAGATTGAACCTACATTTTAAACTGGTTCTTATGCTTTTGATTTTATTTTATTTTTTTTAACAAATCGGTTACTTAATTCTACCAAGATACAAAACATAAGGCTGTAAGTAACTAATAGTTGTGTTTAGGCTATTACAGTGCAGGTAATCCTCAAGGCCACATACACACTGCTTCACTGCTGCTTGCATTCTGCTGGGTTTTGATCCTTCTGCTGAGAAAAAAGGAAATATCAGTTTACAGATATCAATACTTTAAAGGAGTTATTAGAATTGCTAAGCACACCCTCAAGTTCCAGTATTCAAGCTCTTGCATCTCTTCCCCTAAGCTAATTGCCCAGGGTTAGTAATACTGCCAACCAAAGATACCAATCATCTTTGGGTATGGCACATTCACAACACTTTTGTTAATGCATACATATATATGATGGATGCAGAACAAAAATCAGTTCAGAATTAAGTGCAGTGGGATACTCTGACACCAAAACTGGAAAAGGAGGAGGTCAGTTACATATCATATCAAACAGGCTGGCTCAGAAGCATAGGCTTCAGAAACAACCGTACCTCATATACAGTTTGAAGCAAAAAGCCTTCCCATAGTCAATAAAGGCACAGCCTTTCTCTAGAAGCCATTGCATAGTGGTACAGTGAAACACCAAATCATGGTACGTTCTCAGCACTCTGGAAACTTCTTTTGAAATAAATTCCAGTTGCTAGAAAAATCCCAAGTGCAAATTAAGAGCATTTCTATGCTGAAGCAGGCAATCAACTACACCTAACAGTATAATATGGGCACTTATTGAAAAGTGTCTGGGTGGTTACAAGTTTCGTTGCAAGTTTTACTACACTGCTTTGCCTGGGTTTGCTATTCTACAACCCCAGTGCTAACTCTCAGCCCGTGATTAGCTTACAACTATTTGTTATTTCACACATTATCTGCCTCTCTAAGCCTTTGGCAGTTCTCTGAAACAATCTTGCCCTTAGCTGGTTAGCCTAGCAAAAAGCAATCTCAAGTGGTAGAAATAAGAAGCACAATTTTCATCTGTTTCATTTTGATTCCAAAACTTTCGTGAACTGGAAGCAATTTAAATACACTATTGCAGCTGAAACATCCTCAACAGGTTGTATATTTTGAGTAATAGTTCTAAACCCCACATCTTTTCAACTAGTGTTAAAATTATAGTATTTTGATTGCAGTTCAAACCATTCCCACTGAAAAATGTACTGCCTCATTTGAAATAATAGGAACATGTCACAGCAGACATCTTGAGTTCACACAGTTTTGGTTTTGAATGCAGCTTACACCATCAGGTGTTTCCAAGATGCCTTTAGCTCAGCTAGTAAAAAAAACTGTCAATTTAGTGCCTTGCAATCACCTTCAGCTAACCAAGCCTAATAGCCATTTGCCCTGACTGAAACTTAAAACAAAGCTGCCAGTTTGCTGGCTGTCCACATCTTAGTGCTTGACTGTAAACGCGTTCCTGAACTTTGTCTTCTGCTACCTCAAGAAAAAAAACAGGTTCACTGTCACCTCCCCTTGAAAAAAGTGTGATAGATTTCCCCAGCACAGTACAAGAATCAGCTTGCAACATGTTCCCCAAACCTGAACACATTACTTGAACAGTTCTCTGCATGTTCTTATGACTTCTGTTCAACATTTTCATCACTGAACTAAGACAGCAACTTGCTGCAAGACAAGTTTATAGGAAAACCAAACTTGACTATCTCCATGCTCAAAGCAAAGCATTACTTTTACAAAACATTTCTTAGTGAAAGAACTTAAAAAAAAGTTGCCACATCAACATTACTGTCAGAACTGGAACTAAAACAGTCTCAGCCAGAAAAATCACTAAGAATGTGAATGAAGATGTAAACTCAAATACTCCTTGTAATTTCTTACTTTTGGGTCATAATCGGGATCGTTTTCTTCATCTGCTTCCTCTTCCCCCTCCTAAAAGAAAACAGTTGTTTACATTTTGCTAGCTTATCTACATTAGCTTCCCAAACCATTTTCAAGAACATTAAATTCTATTCTGAAATGAATTAACTACCACTTCAAATTACGCATTTGGTATTAGCTTACCCTCTACAAAGTGCATCACCTTTTACTGTTTCAACTTGATTCGTAAGATATCTTAGGGTTGCTTTCCCCTCCCAGTCTGGATCCATAAAGACAAGCTGTTGTACCTTACATTCATTAGTATAACTTAAACTGAGCATCCAAAGCATTCAAAAACTAAAGGAACTTATTCCAGACAGACAACGGAAAGGGAACCATTTAAACCAAGGGAATATGTCAACCCACCTCATCATCTGCCTCTTCACCTTCTTCATCATACTAGGAAAAAAAAGAAATGGTTTTGAGAGGGTCATAAATGCAGTCATTTCAGACATCAATTCATTCAGGATAACTTAAGTAGGTGCCAGAGACCATCCACATTGTGTTGTGCTTTAAGAGAGCATCCTATAGCTGACAGATTTTAAAAAGCTTCATGAATCAGCATGAATAATCTCTTAAGCTACGCTCTGGCAGAGAAAGCTTCCTGCTTTATATTCCTTATGTGCTACACTGGAAGAGATTATCAAACTGTGCTAACACCTCTGTCCAGCAGGGCATGTCAAAGCATCAGGCAGTCTATACCATCACTTCCCTCTTCCACCCAACCCCCATCCACTGCTCTGGACTAAAGGTTACCCTTCAACATTCTGAAAACCCAGCTCAATGCTGAATGTATCTCACCCAAATCAGCTCAATAAATTCATCAAGGTTGTCAAACTATGCTTGTTTGTGGGGAGGCAGGGGAAAGGAAATATTTTATCTATATACAGTTCTTGTTTTCTGCGGGTTGATTTTCAACCTTAGCTCCTTTAAATGCAAAGAAGCAAAGCTTTTGCAGAGCTGGCTTTAAAGAAATAGCATGCTTTGAATGTGTGTATCTACATTTCACTAAAGAGTGCCCTCCTGAAAGGATCAGACCTGAATCTCAAGAAACTGGGTAGCTAAGTATCACTATAACTATAAAGAACATTCTGACGAGCTATATAAACAGATGGATTAATTCTCTAGAAGCTCACTGTATTTCAGTGGAAGTATTACGCACACCCCTCTTTCTGTTATGCACATACACACAAACTTCTACTCATGCATGCCTCTAAGCATGCAGCTTCTATCACTGCTTTTGTTATAAAACTCTGAAGTCACTACTTCTAAGATTAATTACCTTCCCACTGCTCCTTATTTAACACCCTAGGAAGTGTATCTGAAACTAACGGTGATACCTCCCATTATAAGTAAGCTAATGTTAATTATAATAGTCCAAAGTTACCCAGTCTCTAAGCAACATTTGGAAGCCTTTAGTACTTTGAAAGACCATTACTTACATCATCATCATCATCTTCAATAGCTTCTCCCGTGAAGTACAATACTGATCGGGGGACTATACGCTCACGTAGGAAATGACCTATTTCAAAGTCTGCAGCAAGGATTGCCTCAGCATCATCATCCTGCATAAAACAACATTTTCCAAACTAAGTCAATAACTACTTTTGATGCAAAAACACAAGTTGCAGAGATTTTGATGTGACTAGATTTACACAAATGCCATGCGCTGACTTCATGGTTCATCATTTGCTTTATAGAAACTGAGGTTGTAAGATCAAGTATTACACTTCAGATGTTCTACTCACATCATGCAGTTAGTGGTTTGCTTCTTTAATAAGCTTAATCATACAAAGTTCTGGAGTTAAAATTTTATTCCTCCCCCACATCCCAACTTACATCTAAGTACAAAAATAGTTCAATACCTCCCATAGACTTTCAGTCTGCATGCATTAAGAACTAACCACTAACCAGGTGAGCCCAATTAAATATCTCCATGGTTCCTATTAATCAACCCATTGTAAAGCAGTTGAGCACCTAAAAATGCTCTCTGCTCTAATAAGCTGTTAAAGTGAACTAAGCTGAACTCTACCCCTTCCAATTAAAAAAGAAAAAAACAATTTTAGTAAAGGAAAATTCACAAACTGTTTATCACAAATATTCCCAAGTCAAATACAGAATCACTTAAAGCTGAACCTATTTAACAAATTCCTAAATAATATGAACAAGCACATTGTATAAAAAGGCAGGAATTCTTCCACTGGTGGTTCCCCCAGCCCAAACTCCTTACTTTTGATAAAACAACTTACCAGGTCTCCACTTTCAGGAACTGTAAAAGAAAGAAGGAAGACAAGTGAGTGAAGTATATATGATGACATTTAAAATTAACATAAATGAACTAATAATCTCTTTACCTTCAGGAGGACTAAAGAAGTTGAAGAAGGAGTCATTGGAAACAGTTTTTGTCACCGTTCTAACTGTTCCACGACCCTTGTGTTTCTGCTTCTTCTTAATGGTTTTCAAAGTAACATTTTTTCCTTTTTTCCAGTCTATTTGGCAGCTGGAAAGAAGAGAGTTGCAGCTTAGAAAAATTCTACTTGTTACTAATACCTGCTGAGGTTATCACAACTGTAAGGGATACAGTAAATATAAAGTTAGGATAACATTTAATTGGTGCTATCTTTTCATGTTATTCTATACTCACTAAAAAAAATACCTTTTTTTAGGATTGAAGTTTTTTCATCCAGAACCTTCTCCTTCACCATTCAATCTCTGCAATATTAAGTCTCATCTGCTACAAAGTTCTACCTAGTTTCCTATCAAAAAATAATGTCACCATTTTTAGTGTGACCAAAACATTAGTGTCATATTTGGTCTTAATACATTAAAACTAGAATATGTTAAGGTTTACTACTCACATTATAAAACCAATAAATCCTTAAAATAATGCATCAAGCACATATGTAATTTCTTCTTATTACTTGCCGCTTACAGACCAAAATCATATGCATAGGCTTGAATGACTCTTGCAAAGTACACTGGGGACATGTAAATGAAGCAGTGACATAAATAAGGCTGCCTGTACTTGCAGAAATTTCTTGATTAGATCCCTTAAATACTCAAAGGAAAGAAGTTGTTTTTCAGTAAGAATAAGCTGTCTTAGTTGTAATACAAAACAAGAATTAGGAATAAATCATTTTCGTAAAAGCAGAGAGTCATGTTACAGGGACCTCTGCCAGGACTTACGCTTTTCAGTAACAATCCTAATTGCGGAACACAAAATAATTTGATCAAATATACTCAAGCAGTTAGACTAAACTTTTCAGGACATTTTTAGCAACATATTACATTAAATGACTGAAATGAAGTGCAATGAAAGACAGTATTAATAAAACGCACAGCAGTGCATGGGTAAAACCAAATCTTACTATACAGCAACAGGCTGTATACTGCCCAAAAGAGTAAGAGTGCTCAGGTGGGCAGTCAAAACATTAAGGAGGCATTAACAAAAAAGCAACTCGTGATACATACATAAACCCCTGATATACCTGATAAGGGCAGTTATTATGACTCAGGTTATGTCTCTTCTTTCTGTTCACAGTGGATGTGCACAGAAAAGAGATTAAATAATTTAAGAAGCTACAGCTAATTTAGAAGAGATCACTGAGAAAGGAATGGGACATTTTCAAAATCATGAGGAAACTAGAGTTACAGATGACTGCTCTCTATTCATAAATAGATTAATTGAAAGGTGCACAGAGAAGCAAACATTCAACTGTTATAAAACAAACTGGACTACTGCAATACAGAATATAAAACTAGACTTGTCTTCTCAAAACTGCATGTCATAAATAAGGTTTCCAAAAAAAGTGACCAAAGTAGTTTTGAATAAAAATAAAGCTATCAAGGTCTACTGGTATATTATACTACCTAGTTTCCATTTCAGCTTCAGTGATTGCAGACCATTTATAGGTACAGTTGTGGTTTTATATGCACATATATATTAAACTATTAAATATATCATTTATAGTACATAAATTGTTAAAAACTCTGAAAATAACACTAGATGGACACAAAGAATAAACTCTTAGGTGTTTCAGACTAATTTGAATATATAAAATGGCATTTTTTAAAAAGTTATTTTACTTATACACACTAAAAATGTCAACCTGAGCCTAGCCTACAAGTTACTGGGTAACAGCATTTTTTCCAGCACCTTCCTAGGAGATCTATAAAAAAGTCTACCGTTGAATAATAATAATAACTAAGAGACTGTTTCATTACCTTAAAGCTATTCAATAGCACTTACCCAGTACATCCCATGATTTCTGGCCCATCAAAGGAGAAGGGATCAGAATCATCTGGCTCTGACCTCATTCTATATGTCTTTGTCAACACTTCATTTGTGAAATAGTCATTTGGTTCAAAGTGAAATTCTAATGTGAAACTCTTAAAAAAGAATTGCAGAGAGACAACATTAGCAATTTAGCTACATATACCTTTACCTTCTAAATACTTAACAGCCAAACAAAAAACATACATGCAACAGAACATATCCATCTCTACCAATATTAAAGTGGTGCACAGAACTTGTTCTTGAATTTGCTGCCCAAGTTGTGCAATAAATATTCAAATATTTTCATTTAATCCATTGCTCTTGCACTTCTGACATAATACACTGCTTGCAGCAATGACATGCGATCTCCTGATGTACAGATTTCCTGGTGCTATGTTACAGAAACAGCTTATAAATTTAAAATATTAAAGCTTAGCAAGCTATTTGCTCTCTGGCAAGGAAATTATATACTATTACAATAGTTATACAAAAAGCACCTGAAAATGTTGAAAATTAAAGAGGTGAAATAGTCAAACACTATGGCCAACTTATTAACTCATCTGAATCTGAAGGTTAAGTTAAATATAAATGCATATGGTACTTCATGGCTAGCACTAAATCTTGCACTGTTTTTCTTAGGACAAGAAGCTGTATATTTCTCAATACTGAGATAATTTCTTACAACAGGCTATGTTATTGATATACACAAGCTTTAATATAACAATCTTGTTCAGTAGGTTAAACTAACCATAGGCTGTCCAACTTCTGAAAATTTCACTTTTATATCTTTTAAGTGTTTCAGGATAGGTTCATCATGCTCCTGCAAAAAAAGAAAAACACAATTATTCAACTTTCATAAGATTAAATTACACAGATTTAAGAGACAATGCAGAGAGAAAAAGCTGTATTTAGAATGAGTAATCCTTGACAAGAACCTCGTTACAATAGGGAAACATTTTCCACATACATGACCAGCAGGTGGCAACAACAGCAGCACAGAATTTCTGCTGCATTACACAGCCTGAATCCCATGCAAACAAAATACAGCTTTTAGCAACATTACATTTCATGCACACATTCCTATGTATTCAGAAAGTGCATTAGTAAGGTAAAATTAAAAGTTCCACAAATAAGAACACAGCAAGAAGATATTTCAGAGTGCTCTCTGCTTTGAGTCAAATAAAGTCCCAGAGATTACATCCAAGCACTCACTTCATTTTCACTCTCCAACAGACTTGTCAAGTACTGTACTGTTCCTACTTCTTCCTTAAAGAGCACACTTGGATTAAGTACTTAATCAACCTCAAGGCAACCTGGGCTACCACCTACCTGAACCATATCACTGAGCAAGTCCACATTCTTGAATACCGTCAGCCAAAATTCAGGAATTCCTTTAGGGTCTTCTTTTTCTTCATCTTTCTTTTCTTCTTCAAGCTTGGCCTTCTCTTTCATTTCCTCCTTGATAGAATAAAAATTTTAGTTTTCCAAGTTTTAAAAGCATAACCCACCAGGCTTGTTAACTGTGTTATGCAGTACAGCTAACAGCACAGATTAAGTTTCATGTGCATGCTTTAAGCAATCAATTATGAATTATTATTAAAAGCAATCATTTTGATTTTTTTTAAAGAAAGTTTTATTTACCGTACTGAAACTTGTTTCATGCTAAAGCTCGAGATATTGATGATAACTGATTATAATACTCACTGAAATTTCTTCTTCAACATCTGCTTTCCATTCACATTCTTCCTCTGTAGGTTCATAGATTGCATTGATGATTTCACTCCGCTGAAAAATTTGACCAACAATATTTTTATGATCTAGCTATTGTAGTCATCAATACCTAATAACTAATAAATTGCTCATCCTAATTTCATACAACATATTAACTACTTATCAAAACTTTTTCTGGCCCTAGAAAGGCTAATCAGTTACCAGCTTTTCAAATAAATAAATTTCACTAAAATAAGCACAAGAATTCCAGAAAGGCTACTACATCACCTAACATCTGCTCAGTTAACAGGATGAGGCCTAATACACCAAAGTGATTCTGTTAATCATGGAGCAGACTGAGCCTTTCTCCCCCTTAACCTCAGTAATGTTCACATGAATGGTAAAATGGTGTCAGTTCAAGCAAACAGGCGCATATAAGACCAAAGTAATTCAGAACATGCATAAGCTTTCAGTTTATGTTCCCTTGTGTTTTAACTAAATCTTTTAAGTACAAATCAGATTAGCATTAAAATACCTTGTCAAATAAGGGCTGATAGAGAGCAGCATATTTTCTTTCCAGCTCATGAACTTCCTCGTAGAACTTTGCTTCTATCTGTGCACACTGAACTTGAAGATTCTTGAGAGCATTCACACGTCTTTTAACAACTTTAGGCAAGCTGAAAAATTCAGTGACAGAGCTGTTACAAACACTGCATTCTAAACACGTTACCCCTCCTTACTCAGCCCCCTTAATAACCACCTTGCATCAAAACAGATTTTACTCTATTTTAAACCTTAAAAAGCTGAACAAATCAAACCAATGACCCGTTGTACCATGCAGACTGAAACTGTTATCATAATCTCTTAAAAACAGGCTTAGTCTGAAAGAGAACCAAAGAATTTCAAATACCTGGGGTATCATGAGATAGACTTGTATAAAACTTCCCATTAAGCTTTACATTATCATTGAGCAGCACAGCAAATTTGTAAGATTGAGCATAATTAAGAACTAACTACTAATTTGTTTAGTTTTATGAAAGTCCAAGACAGTTATTACTTCACTACAGAAGTCAATCTTCAACATTCATATTTGTTTCATTTGGGAAAGAAGCTAGGACTACTGTCTTCATATTCCCCTTCCCTCCCAAAATGAGAGAGAACTGTTTTTTTCTAAGTGAGCCTCTATATTATACATGTGTAACAGGAAAACAATTAATGTAGTTTTCATTGTAAAGAGTTGTCAACTACAACTGTTAATAGTAGTTTCACTTATGGGAAGTTACACTAAGATACTGTTAGGACAGAAATTTACTTATGTGAAGGCTATTAGTGACATCCATGGGGTAGATTGCTGACAGCCTCCATTGCCTATGATGTGAGACAGCCCCCAGCATATGGCTACAGAAGATTACCATGTTAACTTTCTGTATTTAAGCAGTTGGTCACATTATTTAGAACACTGTAGTTAGCAGCTGCTTTTTAATTGTTAGTATCAGAGTCAGGTTAGAGTAAGTAACCAGAATATGGTAAGTACGCTAAACAGTGGAAGTTCATATTACTAATGCCATCTGACCTCTAATTAGGTAGGATATGGACACATTCTAAAAGAGCCTTGTTCACTTTAAAATGTGAAATCCATCTCCCTAATGACTCTATGCTCAATATAAATATCCTATTTCTGTTTACTAAGACAACACACAGATAACCAGTAAGTCAAGATTTCTCTTAACCTCCTGACTTGAGCAAAAGTACATCTGCTACACATGCTACCAGAAAAGCTTAATCATAAGTGTTCAAAAGGAGTTGATAACATTCAAGTTGCTATCACTTTTTCTAGAATGTAGTCAACTTCACCATTTGTTGCATCTTTCACTTCAGGAACATCAGAATGATGTAAAAGCAACCAAAGTAGCAAATTCAGTTCAAGAAAAAAAAAGTGGTAAGGAAGAAAATAATTAACTGTATAGGTAAGTCATGCAATAATTACCCACCTAACTCCACATGCATGTATTTAGACTAAATACTGGTCTTCATAATTTCATATTAAAAAAGCAACATTTGAAGAAGCTAATGCTATAACATGCAACATAACCAATTCCAGTACATCTGAACACAAATTTTAATTCCTTTATTAGAAAGTCTAGAATCTTTTGCACGCATCAGAAAGCTGTATTTTGATACAGTCCATGCCAGCTAGATCAAATTTTACAATTTGTACATCTACTACATTTATAATGTCCATAAATTCTAGAAAAAAAGTAGATTCAAAGAGATAGCTAATACAAAAATAGGAAATGGAGAAGCAGACCAAGAAATCTGAACCAGACTGCACAAGTACAATAATGGCAAGTAAAACTCATCGCTCTGAGGCCCTGAGCAACCTGATCTAGTGGGTGGCATTCTTGCCCGTGGCAGGGGGGTTTGAACCAAGTGATATCTGAGGTCACTTCCAACCCAAGCCATTCTATGAATACAAGCAACTAGAAAACATTACAGTAACACAAGAATGCAATGTCTAAATAGTAGGTGAGGGAAAACCTACCCTAGAAAAGTTTCATTAAAATTATTGTAGCCAGGCACAGGTAAAGGAGTTACTGAATAATTGCCAAAAGTTAGTGGATTCTAAGCCTGAGCAGATAGATGTTTTCCTGGAACGTGTTTATCTTTCCCACCAGCTTATGCATTTAGTTCCTTTACAGCCCACATAACAGGCTTTTAGGATCCCAGATTCCTGCTGACTTGCGCCTCCTTAGTGTCTAGACTCCATATATAAACAAACTTTAAAAAATATTTAGGAAGACATTTAAGAGGCACCTGTAAAGCATGGTTAAATCAGCATACATATGTTGAAAAAGTGCAGATTAAAGTTGCACACATTTTACAACTATTTTTAAACTGTAAATAACTAAGCATTTGGTACAACAGCAAAGCTGCAATGCTTTTTTAAGAGAATGCCCTACTGTACTTGGAACAGATGAAGAAGTAGTACAGTATCTTAGAGAGCAGCTGACTAGAAGAATGCCATATAAAATTCATCAACCTTATGACTTGTGCTCAATTCTTAAATCAACTTCTACTAATCTTTCAGGTCCTTAACTAACATCTGTTGAAAAAACAGAAGAAAAATAATTGGATATAGAAAGCCTGTAGTATACAGCGTATACAGTAGTATACAGAAAGGACCTGTGTGTCCCCTTTGACTCCCATGCTCTTCTGGGGCTTGCATTTATTAGGGTATTGCTGTTAGTTATGCGTGCTTTTGTTCTGTGCTACTATCTGTAGCAGAGGAACGTGGGGGTAGGAGTAGCAGCAGCAAAGCCTGTTATTCAGTAGCTATCCCAGTTACCATCAATAGCTCTGCAGGACCCTATCACAGTAAGATAAGTTGTGCTTTACAAATCACGTGAATATGGTGAAAAGTTCATACACAGATTACAAAAAAAATAAAGAAAAGATCTACTTGTTAAAGCATGAGTAAAGAAAATTTTAGCAAGCAAGAGAGATTGTTTCAAGGTTGCATATAAGGAGTCCATATCAACTATTGATTGATACAACATCCCTAATTTTATTAGCTTTCTGGTTACACTATAACCATAAAATGACCATATATTTGCCCATGTTTCAGATTAAGGCAAACCTACAAAAGATATTCCAAAGAGCAGGAAAATACCTGTAAGTGTGCCATTTCACAACTGCAGGGGACTGCTAAAATATTTAGTGGCTGATGCTTTTTCTTCAGAAAGGCTCAAATAAAAAGCCTTCAATTCTGAAATGCACTAGACTGACTACATTAGTTTGCTATTTAGGCAGAACAATGGTTTATGATTATTAATCCTACAACGTTCACAAAGCAAGAGCACCATATACATGTATACCACTCTGTCACACTAAATTAGAATATTTTACCTTTCTATATATCCTGTAGATGTTCCTACCAGACCATCAAGCCTTTCCTGAAGAGCTGCAAGAATCTGAGGATTTTGCATCATCTGCACAGTCAACTGCCGAGCTAAATTGGAAAAGAAAAAACTGTAAATGCAAAAAGTACATCTTCTGGATTCATCTTGGATTACTATAAAAAGCAGTAAGTTTATTATATACATTTGTGAGAAGAAATACAGGCAGAAAAGTATTTCAGACATCTATTTGAGAAGCATGGATCAAGTCCATCCCATCCTCATCAAAAACCTGGATTAAAATTGCCACTGTTCAGCAAACCGAGCTTTTGTTAAAAGGTCTGGCTTTACATGATACTTCTAAAAGCATCCGTTGTTTCTACTTGACTTCTACTTCAAAACTCATCAGAAAAATGCAAAGTAGTAGATTTCATGCCGTTAATTTAAGAAGTCAAAATTGGAGTTGGGATTTCCATTCCATTTCAGATGAAACAAGACTGCTTCAGACTTGGATTTAGAATTTTTTTTTAATATTTTTTTTTTTTTTTTACAAATCTATGCTTACATATTTTTTCTTGCAAAATAAATTATTCATTAGAACATTTTTAAAGGAATAGCATATCAATCCAATCAACTCAGTCTGACACGTTATTGATTACAGAATATCAGTGCTAAGTACTTAATTTCTATTAGTAACCTCTTTAGAAATCATTTTGCCCAAATGGGAAATCTGTTTCAAATTATATGATAGAAGTACATTTTAGAAAACACACAAATTGCTAGCTTAAGTGCTCTGTATCATCACCTCTTTTACTTCAGCTCAAAGTCTGTGCCTAAGCAACCTGCAGAAGTTCATTTTAATAAGAATTTATTATAATTTTTAATCATGCTGTTTTGCCTTCTTCCCCCATCTTCAACATTTACAGGTATGCAAACAAGTAGTATATCATAAGGCATAGAAAATATCTTCATTAACTGGCACCTTCAAATGAATGTGGAGCTTTTCAATCCTTCCTGATACATCAAGTTGTTTTTTTGTTAAGTAATATTCAGTTCACCATTTCTATGCCCTTTGCTAGAATAACCATGTGAGCATCCTCTTCTACTTTTATGTCCTACCAATTAAATTACATATTGAGAAATTTTATCTCAAGTGACACCCAAAAAAGAGGCCTGTTCTGTGAAGCCTGTAGTATTTCCATAAAGACACATTTCAGCAGTAGATGTAGTTGCTTCTTAGAAGCACAATACCACATTAGTTAACACCATCTTGTTAAGCTATCTTCGTTTGCTCTGGTCTTACTAATCATTACTTTCCTTAACCTAAAAACCTACCCAACTGTGCAATTTGAGTCTGTTTTGAGGTATTCTTTTAAATACCAAACCTGTACACACCATAAAAATGGCATGCCAGTGCCAACATTCCCTCAAACTGAAAGCCAACCCCATATCTGTTCTGCAAGTCCTTGGATACATTAACCTTTTGTTTTTCAGTTAGGTTATTACCAAAAAGCAAGAGTGCTTTACTTAAGTGTTACCTGAACAGTCTTCAATATATTTAAAAATTAAATCATCCAGGTTAAAAAAAAAAGAAAAAGGCTAGGATGTGGAAAAAATGTGCATGGTAAAAGACACTAGAAAGCCAGCAAAAGAACTGCTTGGCAGTCTTCATTTCAGAAGACTGAAAAGTTCCCTAGTACTGAAATGTTCTTCACTTGCAAAACTCCATTTCCCTCCAAGATGTACATGTATATAGTGTGATTTCCCCTCTCAGATCCTCATGTATCATTGCTGGGATTAAATACTAAAAATACCGTTACTCAACTCTAGGTTCCTTTGGGACACCTGATTATTTAACATTTAATTATTGTAAGCATCTTCAGCTGACCTACATTATCCAAAATTTTGCAATCCAGCTTTGGAAACACTTTCAATAGTAATAACAAAGCCTCTAACGCCACCTTGAGGAAAGTTTTCTAGTTTTTCATTAGTGTTACTACTTTGCTCAGGAAAACATGGAATGTAGCATTATCAGCAATCCAAGCTATTTTATTACAGAGATTATCATCTCTCATACAAGCTATTTCTCATTTGGCTAATTGCTCTCAGATACTATCTGCATCCCCAATTTTTAACTGTAACATTTGAGTAGGACTGCTCAGCACAGAGATGAAACAAGTATTCTCATACATGTTCAAGCCTTCTTGAGAGAAACAATCAAAATAATACATATATGTATTATTTATTTATTTATTAAGAAAAAGGCTATCAGCTACTAGCTTTGAAATAATTTGTTAACACATCCACAATAACCTTCTCTTTTCCAATTATACAACCCTACAGGTGGCCAGGTCTACTTGCACTGGTACTGACCATGACTAAAATGAATGACAGTGTACAACTAATAAAAGACACAACTAGGGAAAAAAGTCCTTGCTTCAGAATTTAAACAGAGACTACTGTTGTATAAGCCATTAAGCTTTACCACTTCCTTTTAAGAAGAAAATTTTAACATTAACAAGAAAGCACATATGCAGCTACTTCAAAAGACTTGTTTTCAACATTACCTTTGCTGTTGGCATCTTCACCAGTTTCCTCCTCTTCTACTTCTTCAACATCTTCCATATCTTGTTGATCAAGTTCAGACTGTTCTTTGCTATTAGGAATATTTAATAATAGAATTAATAAGTTAACTTTTTTAAATTATAAATGAGCTCAAAGAGTCAGAGATCACATTGGTACAAGCAAACTGATGCACTAATTTTTAACCTATGAAAATTCGAAAGTTGTAATAGCCAAAGTCAAATGTCTTCATAGATTCAGTGTTAGTTTCAGACTGAGCAGTTTATAGAACTAGCACCTTTTCAAAGTTTTGAAGTTAAAATTCCTTTACAGAAGGATTCCTTCAGCTCCTACTGATATCAGCAAGTACAAGCCTCCTCCTGCCCTATGCATCCTCTTTGTTATGATGTGCAGGCCTTGAGAACTGAGATTAGATTCACCCAAACAATACTTCAAATCCCACAAAACTACACACATTCAAAGTACAGAGAAAGCTACGTTCAGTGAAATAATGGTAACGGGTAGTACTAGCATTTTTCCCTACAGAATTCCAGCTAACGTGGTAAGTTAACTGGTTCCTTACCCCTGTCTTATACAGTTAAGATCCCAAACCAATTTGGCATGAGCAACTCGGGCTCTCCTCCCACGTGCAAATGCTGTAAAACTCATCTTGCCACAAAGTCAAGATCACGTTGTAGTAGATAGACCCTGTCCCTCATATATCTGGAGGGAACAGGCATCTGAAGTACATAACAGGACAGCTACAGCCTCAGTAACCTACAGATTTTACTTACTTGTCGATGTCTGCCATGCTCAGATTTCAAACCCTAGAAGAAAACACAATGCAAAAACAGCATTAGATTTCATTTACAAGCTCTACAGGCAAGTGCCATAACACTTAAAAGGAAACAAACTATGCCAGCTTTTAGAAATAGGATAAATACATATTGTAGTCTAAAGTGGCATAGCCCCCATGCAAATGTTTTGAACTTTCACTCTAAAGCATACAGAAATACTGGAAAATGTCACTCTGGTTTAGAGCCAATAAATCTACTAACATACATTTAAATACCAGGAAAAAAAACACATTGCATTTTGTATCGCAGGATTGTGTTAATATCAAAAATTGGTAACTAATCTTATCTAATTGAAAGTAACAAAATTATGAAACGTAATCTGAGAAAAAGTAAAGTAACAAGAGTGCTAAAAACCCTTTTGCTAAATTTTACTCACTTTCAGCATGTAATTGCAGACAATTCTTACTGCTGAATCATGTTCTTTAATACTAAACATGCCTTCTTGTGGATTCATGTTTAATCCTAGCTTTACAAAACCAATCCAAGTAGTTCCTCAAAACACCCAGAGAATTGCCACATATAATTAATTTGATGACACTGCACCAAGCTAATTACAGAGCTAATTTCCATGTCCTGAACAATCAGAATTTTAAGTACCTCAGCATCACCATAAGCATGCTCAAGCCTACAAATACGACGTGTTGAGACTATTGCACATCTCGCATGCCACAAAGCACATGCGTTCTCAAATGTATTACAAGATGAAAAACACTTTCCGCCAGCAAAACAATACTTTGAAATCTAGACTACAAAAATATGTTTCTGGTAATATGTTCTGGTTGCATGTAACCAGATTCAATTCCCTCGTACGTGGAAAAACAGAAAACCAGCTGTTTGTCCATCTATTTCAGAAAAATGCAGTATTTCCTATCAAACAGAACAGCAGCACTACCACAAACCCAAGATCGTGCAACAATTCATTAAGAAACTGACGAGTTCCAGGAACATTTCTGACTCATTGGAAGTTCTGTAAGATCCAGCTCGTGTTTGCTTGTTGTGTGACCCCAGGTTCACACATGGATGCAAGCTGCCTCTAGACCAGTCCCAGCCTCCTCCCCAAACCATTCTCAAATAAGTGACAGCAGAGACTGAAGACCTACAGAAACTAAGAACTTACAACAACTACAGCTCATTTAGAAGCCTCCATATTTCTTGAGCAATACCACAATTAGCACGGTTTCTGGTTTGCAAAAGGTTTTATCAATGCCAAATTAGATGTAGAGCTTAGTGATATGGTTCAGTGGAGGACTTGTTAGTGTTAGGTCAGAGGTTGGACTCTGTGATCTTGGAGGTCTCTTCCAACCTAGATGATTTTGTGATTCTGTGAAAATAAACACCTTCATGCAGGACCTTTGTAAAGAGGCTAGCAGCCCCAATCTAGGTGCACAGCTCACTTTGCCTTCTGCACATTGTCATACAAGTGGGACAGACACAATCCATTAACTATTATTGCTCCATGCAGAGATCAACATTTCCCCGTCTCCATTCTCCACATAAAACAGCACTTTGTCTTCTATCTGGAGACAGCTCTTTCAAAGGTGCACCAGGGACCACAACCCAGGTGTCTCCCCAAGCCAGCAGTTGAAGCACTCCAGGTTCAGGTTTGCTGAAACAGACTGACTTCAAAATTCAACTGAGCTTTTTTTCTAAATGATGCCATGAGATCAGCTATGACCAAGTCAGGCTAAAACAATGTTTAACAAGTATCCATCCCATCCCCAACAGAGGCCATTAGCAGATGGCTATCTACAAGCAATGACAGAGCAAGAGTTCCCCCAGAAACTCCTGTAGCTTTCAGCTACATTCAGAAAAAAAACACTGGCTTTACAAGTACAGATATTTAACAAGCCCATAATAAGGGCTAGTTTATGAAATTGATTTGTCTTCCCTGAAACAATGCAGGCGAGCTGATATTGTTCAAGCATCAAAGCACCGAAATGTGGGTTTTAGTTACAACAGCCTGCAGATATTAAGCCAAGTTTTTCTGTGCTGAGCAAGAGCAGCAGATGAAGTTTCACCAGCAGTTTCCACGTTCTTGAATTTCTCAGCAGGTCCTTGTCTCTACAGTTCTGAATAACCGCCCCCATCAACCACCTTCATCCTTTCACTATTCATCCCTCTCCCTGAGGCCACGTGTGACCATGCTGAAAGCATTCACAGCAGCGCAGAGCCCTGCCTGGGGAGCTCCCATCTCTGCAAGGGGCGGCTGTGCCTGCTCTGTATCTCCATACTTCAGGACCATACCTTCTGCAACAAGGGCCCAGCTCACTCCAAGCCTTTGGACAACTTTGGAAAAAGTCTTTTCAGGGAATTCAAGTAGAGCATGTCAGCTGGCAAGTTCAGAACCTCCCTTCAACGTGTTCCTATCTGCTTTACCCTGTTTTGTTCTCCTTGCATCAGCTTTTGCCATATCTCAGTGTTTAATCTGCCCTCTGCTTTTTTACACTGCTCCATATCAGAACATTTGCAGTTGGGAGGTTTCTTCCTCAAACTGAGGAGACACTACTGTTTGTCATGGCACTGTCATCTGCCAGCTCTAGAAAGCAGCTCTTGTGTGACGAGGCTGCGAGGCACCGTGCCAGCAGCGCTGTGCTGGCAGGCAGACTAATCTGTGCTACCCACCAGCGTGGCTATACAGTTGCATCACATTTAGCTTGTCATTTACTTAAATAACCATAAGCTTCTCTACAAACACAATTCTACTGGTGAAAAAACTGCAGAGGCAGATGAGTATTGAGGAAACACCTTCCCTAAGAGGAGACGGTCTTGCACAACGCTTACTACAAGGTCCCAGTTTTGGGAGCTTCAGATACAACAGCAACACTGAAATGCATTATCTCCCCAAAACCGAATCTTCGCATATAATGCTCCTTCCTCTCAGCTTTCCAGAAGAATACCACGGCTCTCGTTCCCCACTCCTTTCATTTAGGATTGGGAACAGCAGCTGCACCTTGGCACGAGTGACAAGAGACGTTCATGGGTATCACTGCTTGAAGCATCATCCCTGGGAGATGCACGGGAAGGATTATGAGTCTCCACTGCTCCAATCCAGCAGGCAAACAACCTCCTCACTCAGAAAATGTTCATTTCCCTCTTGTTTGAGCAGCCGCAGCCAGGAGCACTGAATTATGGTCAAAGGCAGAGGTGCCCCAAGGCTTCGCATACAGGGAAAGATGTTTTGCTGCTTACTGTAAAAAAAACACTGAGGAAAATAAATGCTTATCTTATCTGTGCTCAGCTTTAAAGACAGCACATAGGAAGTTAATGCTACAAAAAGGAAGCAAAAGAACACAAACACAAGCTACAGTAGGAGCTTTCTAAAGGGTACAGTGTTTTAAACCTTTCACAGAGAGCTGAAGCTTGATCACAAGCCTGCTGCCACACAAGGAGCACCTTCTTTTTCATAACTGAAAGGTTAGGAGACTTAAAAAGAAAAAAAAATCACGCGCTTAGTCACGGTTTTGAGAGTGTGCTGCAGAATTACAAAAAATTATCAGATCTCCCTCGAAAATTTCAATCTTACCAAAACAGTATCAAAAGTGTGCTCTTTGTCATCATGCTTAAAAAGAAAGTTGGAAGTGAGGTGTCATTTAAGAAGTGCAGCCCTACACATGCAGAAAGTAATAACACGGCCATGCATTTGTCCACAAGCTGTCCATCAGTAACCCCTGACAATTACGAGCTATTGCTTCACAAAGCAGTTACGCCGAGGTGGAGCTCAGTTTTAGGACACCAGCTGTAGACATTCAGCCCCCTGTGCCCACGCCGAAGCCTGTGGCTGTGCCCAGCAGCCTTCCCTTGCAGAAGGTCAGGCTGAGCACCCCGAGGGAGCGTGCTGCTGTCACCTTACCCTGCCATCGTCCCAGCCCCAGGAGGACAGGTCACAGCGAGGTGACTTCGCAGCCAGCTGCCAAGGCGAGGCCTCCCCCAGCCCCAGTGCCTGCAGCCGGATGGCTTTCTCCTGGCAGTCTGCCCTCAATCTCAGCTGCTCGGCACCTCTGTGGGTGACCTGCCATGCACCATGCCCATCCTGCCCCTTCCAGGAAACATTTTCCCTCTGGAGGAGTTACTCACCCAATTAGCTTGCTATAGCAAGTAGGAGAAATTTCTCAAGCCGTCCGAGGGACACAAACAGGCCTTTTGAGAATACCGAAGCCAAGCCTCATGTCTTTAAAAGCAATCTACCTTCTGCCCAAGCTAATTCCCTCAATAGCCAGTAATTCAGAGTACTGCAGGCAAGTCAGCTCTCCCACAGCACAGCAGTCTCAGCCTCCTTCCGTCGCTGGCAAGCCTTGGGCAACTGAAAGTAAGATGTGAGCAGAAAATGCCTAGAACTAGCAAGCCCTACGTGCAATTACGAAGCTGCAACAGAAAATAAACTGAGTGGCCTAAGTCAGATGTCAGCAATGAGAAGAAGCCCAGCTGGAAGACAGCTAGTTGCATTTAAAAAAATCAGGATTAAGTCCTGTCAACTGCTATTTGCAATGCATGCAGAAACTGAAGGTGCCAGACAAATTACACCACACCAGCCAAGTTGGACTCGCTGCAGACTGGGAAACGCGAGAGGAATACATTCACTGGCAGCTCCCTCAGAGCCGTGCTGCTGCCCGGCATTCCAGGGGGACAATTTGCAACCCTTTGCTTTACATAAAGCAGCACCAACCACCCCCACCCAAAAACTGAAGGACGTAGCACGGAGATCCACCACCAGGCTCCCGGAGTGCAGATGTTTGTAGTAATTCTTGTAGGTAGTTTGCTGAAACCACCAAGAGAGGTCTGTAACTTCAAAGAGCTGCGACGCTCAGTGCCGTCTCATTTCCATGGATGTTGGAGCTGGCTGAACAGTTTAGAGGCACGTACTACATGGCACAGTTACAGACCAGGATTTTTGGTACCAAGATGTAAGAAAACACATCAATCATTTCACAAGTGTTAGACGGTACCAACTACCACATGGGAAAGCTGTTACA